TGATTGTTAATTGAGTTCTCCTTGTCAGTACCAAAGAAAATGTATAGAGGAGAGTATGGAGAATACAGAAACTGATGTTAAAGGGTTAATTACCCACTTCAAACCCCAGAGTGACAATCTCTCTCAATTGATAATTCATGATCAAGAACTTTTTTGTTTTTTATTCAACAGACCAAGAATCTCCCATTATAAGTGTGCTGTCTAGCAATGAAAGTCCATCACTAATATTTATCATTCACCAAAACAGCATCACAGAATGTTGGGAATTCACTCAGTCAAGTTACAAATGGATTAAGAAGAATGAATTTCAGTTGAGTAACACAAAGGGAGTTGAGATATTACAGGTTGTACTTCATCCTCTGGCGAATTGTTTCTTCTGGTGTGAGAGGCGATCTGTCTCTGCATCAAACTTAATCAGCTGTTGTGTCTGTGTAAGACAAGTGATCATTTCTGAGAGACTTGGAAACAATACTGTAGTGTCTGTTGGACCATTAGTGGCTATTCTTCATGGATGTCCCCCAATGTCACTTCATGTCATCAGTAGAAATGTTTGCCTTGTTCCTGATTTTCCAGAGGAATTGAGATGTTTTGTTCTCTTCTGGACATTTGTTCAGAGGTCCTTAAAGGTTTGTTGATTAAGCTTATCTGTCAATAGTTTGTAAGACAGATGTCAAACATTCTCCTTAAGTGTGGGACACAGAAAAATTCTGAGTTCCCTATAAGGATTTAAAGGATCCTAGTCAACCACACCTTTGTTTTTGTTTACATATGGGCAACTTCAGAGAAAAGTGTTCTTTAGACTCCTTACCGTATCATTGCCAATGAAACATTTGGGTCATAAGAATGATTATAACATAACCAAAGTAAAGTGCTTGTTCTGGTTGGTCAATTCAGTGTCCACCAGTTTTCCACATGTGCTTGTCTTTTCTGGTCACATAAGATTTGTTAAATAAAAGAAAACTATTTTGCTACAATGTATGAATATTATGTTATAAAACAAATGGTAAACACCACAGTGTACACTATTGAGTTATGGATACACTTGGGAGGTTTGCTAAGCACTCGAGAGGCTAGAGTCCCTCTTGGCTATCGCCTCATGCAACCCTTACACTTCTTTCATGCTTAGAAACCTCCTGCGTGCATCCACAACTCAATGGTATACACAGTCACTGTGGTGTTTACCATTTGTTAAAGGAAATAAGGGCCAACTAAAGAAAGTCCTGATTGTTTCGCAAATTTTCCTTGTAGTGTAGGAAAATGTACAGAGAACAGGGTGGAAAATATGCATACTGGTGTTATTGAGATCATACTGATATTGTGATGCTTTTATGGCAGATTTACATATGGAATTATGGTTTTGTTGGAGATGTAGATAAATTTGACTTCAAGGCAATAATTGCAGAATTACTTTGCCCATGGACTTCAAGTACAAAGAATAACTTGCATCATCTGGTTGCCCTCACATCTCATCCTACCACAAATGAACTTCTCGTGATTGACAGTGGTTTGGAGTTATCACTAGTCAAGCTTCAGGAAAGGAGCCCAGATGTAGCCCCACTTGTTAGACTCCAAGCAGATTCTTTGATCTTTCACAGTGACAAAATTCTAGATCTCTTTGCTTTTGGTCTCATTGTTGGTGTTCTATGGAAATCAGGTAAACTTTCACTTTATGATGTTGGTAGTGGAGCTGAAATATGCAAGCTTGAAGATTTTAAAGGACAGAAGGTTCTTATTTGGAGATGTTCTCATTTGGTTAATTCCATTGGATTTTGGTCAGTCAATGGGATTTGGAAGCTTCAATCTGGAACAGTTCTTGAAACTGCAGATTGCATCAGGTCCTCTGTTAATTCAGCTAAACTTGTAAGTAGAGAAAACAATTCCTTTGTGAGCACACAAGAGTCGATTGAGTCTTTTTGCAGTAACAGTCCAAGCAAAAGTGTCTTCATTACAGATGCTTCATTGCTGAAAACTGAATTGGACACTTCATCAGAGAATTTTTTGATTCCTGAAATTGTTAAAAATCAACAGAAATCTGAGAGATCATCAGTTGGTTCTGGACAATCAAGGCACATTGGTGTGGATAGATTTTCTGGTCCTCTTTTTGCAGTGAGTCATTTGACTAAGTGGAACTTAACCCACAGGGCAGCCAAGCTGGCACTGGACTCAATTGTTTGTTCAGGAATCCTTTCAGGTTCTCCTGTGACATATAGTGAGATCCCAGAATCTTTGGTCCATCTGTTGGTCAGTTCCCATTCTCAGGGCCCTGAAATTGCTCTTCTGCTGCTCTGGGAGGATCCTGTACACAGAGAATTTGTTCTGCGTAACCTTGAACAATACATGATTGAGCGAGGTATGGACAAAAGTCATCCAAAGAAAACACTTTTGAATGAGTTGTTGCATCCATATATGAGTGAATTTCTCTTACTCAACAAACAGTGTAAGTCAGCAACTGACCCCAATGTCATGGAAATTACACAGTCACCCACCCTACCAACAAACTCTGTCATGCAAGAGATTCTCACCTTGTTGGAGACATTTGACAGCAGTCCTCTTGAAATGGTGTCACTAGAAAGACTCAGCACATTAAGTCATCAGCATCCACACAAGGTTCTTGAGCACGTGGCAGATTATTTGAGGATTGATTTTGAGGAGGATGAAAGTACAGAAAGTCAATGGCAGGGACGATGGAGAAAAATTTACAGGTTTGTAATAAGCATGTTTGATAGAAATTGTGCCTTCTGTTCAAAATCCTAATTACAACTTCTCCAAATATCTGAAACCTAACTCTCCAAATAGTGAACAGTAGGCTAGTCCCACAAATATAGCAGTACCCACCCCTCCCTCAGAAGTTTTTTCATTATTGTTTACTGATTTTTTTCTTTACATTTACATCCCACTGAATAGGCATTTTGTGCTCATCAGAATGAGTGTGAGAGTGCATAACCCTTTGACACCTAAAAAGTGACCAGTTGCTAATTTCTCCTTACAATATCACTCCTTAATTGCATGTTTAAGATCATGAGAATTTAGGTAATGATCACCACTAAAGAAGCTATCAACTGTTAAACTAATTCTCCTTTTCTGTTCTGTTGGAATTGTGTAGAACAGTGCACGTAGAAAATATCCAAACTGATGTAAGGGTTTAAACGATTTATTTACCCATTTTGTGTGAATAGCCCATTTCCGAATTACCCTTTGCCTCGTTTTCAAAACGAGTCCTGGTGCTCATCCTTTCATATGATAATAAGTTTCCATTCACATACAAATTAAACTCATTTTCACAAGAATGGTTGAGCACAAAGACTGTCACCCCTAAGCAATGGTTTGCTCAACTTGCCTGCAATATTTTCAGTGAAATATTAGGACAAGGTTTTCAAAGTGGAGAGGAGTCTGGGGTGGATAGATGGTGGATTGACTTTTAGAAATATCTCTTTTTTCAGACTTGAGTGGAGAAGTGGCAGATGGGGGAGAAGTAAATTAGCCCTCAAAGACCCTTATAATGTAATGTTGAGCATTCTTCTACGGATGTTTTTTGTCTCAAAATCGGATTGGCTGATGAGATCAGTGGAGAAGGGAATTGGGGCAATGCAGGTGGAAGAATCAGATTACAGATCGGAGGTTTGAAACTTTTATAAGGATTTATTATTGTGTCATCTTGAACTAAAAATATCAAAGACACTGATAATTATAGTTGCTAGCTATGCTATTAAGGTCCGAGAATTTCTTTGCTAGTACTTTAATTTCAATTTAATTTTGAAACCTTACTCTTGTTTTACCTTTTGTGCCATGGAGTCTAAATTGGTACCAGGAAATTGTTTCAAAACCTCTACCAATCAATCTAACTCCAGATTTTGTAGACCAATTACAGAGAATAGCATGGCAACACCAAATGCAATGCAATGCATCAAGGCTGCAGCACCAAATGCAGTCTTACAAGACTATAACAACAAACGCAGTCCTACAAGACTGTAACACAAAGTGCAATCCTACAAGACTGCAATAACAAATTCAATCAGGCAAGACTGCAACACCAAATACAATCATACAAGGCTGCTGCACAAAATGCAGTTGTACAAGACTGTAACACCAAATGCAGTCCTACTTTACTTTTACTTTAATCATTTTCTCAACAAACTTAACACATATACAAAGCTGAGGGGAAGGCCAAGAAACAAGAACAGGTTCCCTTATAAAAGGCCACCCAAAAAAGAAAAATACTACACATACCTATATATATATATATATATATATACACATATACATATATAGAGAGAGATTAAGCTTGGTGTCCGTGAAACAGTGCTCGATACGAATAGTAGAGCGGGTATAATGTGTGGTAGTCTTAAATATTGCCTTATCTAGTTATATTATTTCCAGAAAAAATGCAGCATATGAACTAAGAAAAGCTGATCTGTCATTTAAAACTCAATATGCAAGAACAAACATGCTAAAATATTCCTATTTCCATAGAACAGTTAAAGCCTGGAATTGTTTACCTATGCATGTCAGAAAGTCTGAGTCTCCTTTTAATTTTGAAAGTCTTTGTAAGGCTTCTTTATACCAGTTAGATGCCGAATTAACCTAATTTATTATTATTATTATTATTATTATTATTATTATTATTATTATTATTATTATATAAGGTGTGGTAGTCGGAAAAAAACAACTACAGATACATCCCTACAGACCTGTTTCGTGGTTGCCCACTCATCAGGGGATTTTAATGGCAGAATAATGCGATACCATCGCTTATATATTACACTAAATGCTAATTAACATGGTTTATGCAGTGTGAAAAGTGTCAAGTCAGCTNATCCTATCTTCCCACCTGCCCTACAACAGCTCAAGCAAACGATGCAACCTATGCCTTAAAGAGAAATTCCTAATCATCTGCCACCCAGACCTATCAACACTCAACAAGCGTAACGAACTCGTCTCTTCCTGCCGACACAGAAACAAAGCACTCCTACGCAACAGCTGACTTGACACTTTTCACACTGCATAAACCATGTTAATTAGCATTTAGTGTAATATATAAGCGATGGTATCGCATTATTCTGCCATTAGAATCCCCTGATGAGTGGGCAACCACGAAACAGGTCTGTAGGGATGTATCTGTAGTTGTTTTTTTCCGACTACCACACATTAGATAATAATAATAATAATAATAATAATAATAAATTAGGTTAATTCGGCATCTAACTGGTATAAAGAAGCCTTACAAAGACTTTCAAAATTAAAAGGAGACTCAGACTTTCTGACATGCATAGGTAAACAATTCCAGGCTTTAACTGTTCTATGGAAATAGGAATATTTTAGCATGTTTGTTCTTGCATATTGAGTTTTAAATGACAGATCAGCTTTTCTTAGTTCATATGCTGCATTTTTTCTGGAAATAATATAACTAGATAAGGCAATATTTAAGAGTCCCTTTAAACATTTGTAAAAGAAGATCAAGTCAAGTAGAGTCCTTCTAAACTTAAGGGTTAGAAGATGGAGAGATTTTAACTGCTCCATGTAAGGTTTTCCTTTGATCATGAGTCGTGTGGCTCGTCTCTGAACGCTTTCAATCATGTCCTGCAAAAAGGCTTGGTGAGGGGACCAGATTTCGCAGGCGTATTCAAGGTGAGGCCGCACAAGGTGTATGTAAAGCTTGTGAATCACAGCAGACTGTGTCTGATTTCCACATGTCCGTTTAATTAGCCGCAGGATCTTATTAGCAGAATTTACTTTTGCAAAGATGTGGTCATGCCATGCTAGTGTGTGATGTAGCATTATACCTAGATCCTTTTCCGTGTCAGATAGGAGTAATTGTTCTGTACCAAGATGATAGATATTGTGGAATGGTTTTTTTCTTCCTTGTTATACAGAGCTGTTTACATTTCTGTGAATTAAAGTTCATTTCCTATAGTGTACTCCAATCCTACAGGACTGGAACACAAAATGCAGTCCAACAACACTACAACACCAAATACAATCATACAAGGCTGCTGCACAAAATGAAGTTTTACAAGACTGTAACAACAAATGCAGTCCTACAAGACTTTAACACATAATACAGTCCAACAACACTGCAACACGAAATACAATCCTACAAGACTATGACACCAAATGCAATTCTCCGAAACTGCAACACCAAATGCAATCGTACAAGATTTCAAGACCAAATACAATAATACAAGACTGCAACATCGAATGCAATCCTACAAGACTGCAACACTAAATGCAATCCTACAAGACTACACTGAATTGCCAATTTCTCCAAACATCAAAACTACCAAAGTGTATCTTTTATATCATGGCTATTTTTTTTGTGTTTGTGAATCATGCCTTGGTTAACCTTGATCCTTTTGTAACTGTTAACACTTCTTTTTGTTGTTCTTTAAATAGGAGTTTGTAACCCAGTCAGTGTTGGAGTGTCTTCCTGTTTTAAGTACAAGGCACACCAATTCCAAGTCGGTCTTAGTACACTCTCAGTTGTGTTACTCTGCTGGGCAAAAGATACAAGCTCTGCATTTACTTCTAAGTCACCAAATGTGGAAAGAAGCCATTGACTTTGTTTCTCATTGTGGAAAGGGCAGTGAAAATCCAACTCTGCTCTTTATCATGTTGATAAAGGGCTTTCAGAGCAGGAAGGCTCCCAGCAAGATACTGATAGAGGCCCTTAATTTAAAGCCCAAGGATTTGAGCACTGATGAGATTCTGGCAATACTGAATGATCAAGCCATTGGAACTAAGGAACCTTTTGCAAAGGCTGCAGGACAGACAACTGTGGCTGAAATGAGGCCTTTTCTTGATGCCCTCTTTTCTAAAGAGGTGTGAAATTATAGTTTTCCTGTTACCCTTGTATCAAACTTCAAATTATCACGGTTATTTCCTTGACGTTCTAACCCTTGCACTCCCAAGATCTCATCATGAAATTCTCGCAACTGTTTGCCATTCAATTCTCTTGAAGTGAGTTTGGAAAACTCAGTATTGGATTAACTAATAATCTCCTAATTGATAGTATTCTTTATTCTCATCGCTTGTCTGCTAGATCTTGTATTGATATTTTAAGGAGAAAGTCTGTCTAGGTCACTTGAGGGAGTTAAAGGCCGCGTTAAGAGTTGATTAAGAAGAATAGACAAACTTATTAACGTACCAGTAATGTTTTGATGTGACACCAAATTCTCTCATCTGATTTAGAAGGAAATGTGTAGCAGCAAGAAGGGAGAATTTTAAGTCAGCTCTTGAGGATAAAAAGGAGGGGCTTTAGAGTCATGGGGTCTCGTTGGGGTTTTTTGTAAATGTCGTCAGCTATTTATCTCTGGATAGCCTACTTACGTGAAACCGTACCCTCCCCCCCAGGACAAACTTCTCTCCCCTCCGTTTCTCCTCTGGGGTAGGGTACGGCTACACGTAGAATCTCTGGAAATTGTTTCAACGTGTTACACCAAGAAACGCATGTATCAAATTTGTGAATTGTTTGTCCATCTTAGCTCCCGTATGTACTTTGACTTATATGACCCGGATACCTTATAAAATGTCCAGGATGATGTCAGCGTTATCAGATATGAAAGTGGCCAAATATACTAAATGAAGAACAAGAATATTAAAATTTAAAGAATTATTATTTTCATGAAACATGTTATACTTGATGACATGTTACATACGAGATTTATATAAGGACGCAAAATAAATGCATTTCTATTTTATCATAGCTGACTACTTTTTCGTTTTCTACACATGTAGGATTACTGTTAAAACTTCTTCCTTCTATCAGCGACGTTTTTCCGTTTGTTGTGAATCATGTAAACAACTTTTCATGATGAGGTTGTACAGTTTAACTAAAAAAGGAAACTAAATCTTGCGAACGGTGATCGATACGCTTCTTTGCTCTGACCGCTAAGAAATTCGGTATTTCCTTTGCTTCTTCAGTTTTCAAGTTTTTCCTTGACCGATTTTGTTCACTCCCCCACGGTTCATTTGCCTTTCTTTCTTTTTTCACTTTGTTCTCTCGTTTTACTCCAGTGGTACGTGTAATGAACAGACACAGTACGATAAAATGTAATCTAACTGTTAAGCAGTTCGTAGTTTGAAGTATGCTTAAAGGTAAATACGACGAAGACGGTCATTGTTACAAAATGTACAAAAATGCTAAGCTGTTTTCTTAGCACTTCATATTAATTAATTTTCATCCCTTTCACGGCTTATTTACACTTAATTTTTGCACTTTTTTATTAGTTATTAGCCCTATTGTTTATATGTAAATACTTAGTTTTTACCTTCATTCCATTGTTTCAGAAATCGTATATATGCGGAAATTTACTCATGAACTCCAACTTGAAAATGACCGTGGAGCGGTCGAAACTTTGTTCATATTTTTTAAACTAGGTATGACAAATGCTTCTGATCGTTGCCTTGAGAGGTTTATGTTACATGTCATCCGCCCTCGTCTGGTACATAATTGGTTCCGTAAGACGACGATTGCGTTCTCTCTCGCCCTCTCTGAGTCTGATAGCCCGTGATCGGGCGCGAAAATTCGGACCTAGCGAACTATTCTTGCTCTCTTTGTCCATGGATGTGTTGGCTTTCTCATCATCTCTCTCGTCGCGATCTTTTTCCTCTGGATTTGAATCCTGGAGATGAAAAGAGAGAAGATCTGCGCCTACTACAGGGGCAGACATCTTGCGATATCCATGCTTTCGATTATCGGTTGAGAGGGAAATCGCTGCGTTTAGTGCGTCTGGAAACGCGTCACCGATGCCTGTCATTGGCGGACACATTGTTGCTAGTTGCGCAAACGGCAGGCATCGCTTCATTCTGTAACGATCAAGGCTACAGTCTTCCCTAGTTTTCAGTGGTAGGCTTTCAAATTCAGGTACCAGTTTGGCTAATTTCTCGTCAAAGCTGTTACTTTTCCGAATAACCTTGTTCTTGGCCCGTGGAACCTTTTTTTCTGGTTGAAATCGCCTCTGAATACTCCCCACCAGTTCCTTGGCTGCGCGTTCTTTGAATTTCCAGGCGGTGACGGAGAAGACTTCGTCGTCGTCCCCAGTCCCACTCGGTTCATGCTCATGTGTGTCCGGCATTTGGCTCACGTCCTTGTGATCTCCTTCTTCGATATAAGTCCTAGAGCTCAGTTCCTAATAAGTAGATGATAAATAATCAAAAGCAACACCCAATTAGCTTTGGAGTATTAAGTAATTTTTGGTTGAGAATTGAAGGACTATAGGGGGTCGTACTGGGTTTGATGTATTACCCACACCCCTTTTGATTTGATTGGCTGTGATGGCTGAAGTACGATAAGGTTTACAAAACTCGATCAAAAAGCGTCCTAAATGAATGAAGTAGAGATTAACCGCCTAGAATTATTTGAGTGAAAATATTTTCCAAGTAATGACTCGAGGTGCATAGGCTTCTAACAGAAACAAAACCTCCCTGTAATCCTTTTCCCGCCCCACCCCAAACTAAGGGAAAAGGCCCTGGGAATGATGTTGACTGATGGTGAAAATGAAAGAGATGGCCGGTACTAAGTTTAAGACGAAAAAAATCACACATTAACGTCACGAGACTAAAGGAAATGATCACCAACTAAAGAATTCCGTAGAAAATTTATAAATAACAGTCTGGAGATTATGCATACTGATGTTAGGGTGTAAAAAAGTAAAAGGAGCCTATAATTGACTTCTTCCCAACAGCATAGACGTTCAAAACCTGTTAAGGTCCTAGACTGTTTCTTCACGCAGCTAAATTTGTGTTTTATTTCGTAGACGATAACTGCATTTCATATATTGAATACGTAGCGCAAAACATTGCTTTGTATTAGTGAAATCTTTGAGGATCGTAAACATTATAGCCAAAATACCTTTTTTGACAATTCTGCTTCCAAAGTGGAGATCCTCTCCCTCAGTTCCTCATTATCCGCTTTCTCTTTATTCAACATTGTTTTCACAGACGCAAGTTCATCCTTGGCTTCGTCATATTTGTTCTCAAACTGTCGCACGTATTCAGTCTGCTGTCGGAGACTCGATTCCTTCGACTCCAAAGCTTTCTTGTGTCGCTGGTTGATTTCTTCCATCTCTTTCCTCATCTGATCTACCTCTATGGCGGAATCTGTCATGGATTTAGAATAGAAATCGCGTTCTTCTCTGTAAATCTTGGAACTATCTTCAATCTCTTTGCAGTTTTGTCTTAGTTCCTCCATGACGCGTTCTTTATGATTGAGTTTGATTTTCAGGTCAGAAATCTCATCGCGCATGCGCGAGCATTCGCTATCCACGGTTACCTGGCTTTTTAGCATTTCTTCTTTCTCGGCTACCATCAAATCAAAACGAGCCTTCAAAGCTTCTGTCCAGCGTTGTACCTCGTTGAGATCATTCTCTTTATCTTGCAGCTCACATCGCAACTTTGCGCCCTCGAACTGCGCCTCGCGTAGTTTCATCTTAAGTGTTTCGCACATCTTCATCTCCTCTGTCTGTGATCGTAGTTGTTGCGACAGCTTGTTTGTCTCCTTTCTTTCAATTGCGTACTCTTGGTTGACTTTACTCAACTGCTTCAACACTTCATCTTCTCGTTGTCTGATTTCATTTAGTTGCTGTCTCATTGTTTCATTTTCCTCGTGCGCTGCTAACAACCTCATCTGTAGCTGGATGATAAACTGGTTTGTTCGCCCCTCGAGTTGGACCGCTTGGAACCGCTGCATGAGATTCTCGCCTGTCTTATTGGCAGCTGATTGAGCTTCGCTGGCCAAAGCGTCCTCTGTGGCCGAGACTTGTTTTTCCAGATGGCTTATTCTGCGTTGCAACCGGTTTTGTTCCAAGAAGGCCTCCTCGAGCTTTTTCTTAAGCTCGTTGTTGTCTTTGAGGACTTGATCGTGTCGTAGAGTTAAGTCGTGTAACTCCTTAGTGAGAATCTTTGAGTAATTACTGAGGATGTCTACGTCCAGGAAGGTAGATCCACCACCTGCCAAGGAGGGAACGAAAGAACAGATTCATTTCTAAATTATGCGAAATCGTGACCCAAGATCGGAATTCTCTTTATCAGGTGAACCAATTAGGTCACCGGCACCCAATGGAGGAACGCAGGAGCGAACTACAGCAGGAGATTAAGGCCTAAACACTCTTCTTTTTAGAATTTCAGAAATAGTCTGTACATAAAAATTTTTGCTGTGCAGATAACTCTTTTACAACTTATCAACCAATATGTATCACTGAAATAGCAGCGTGTCTGCGAGTGCAAGTAACTATTGAATGGACTGGATGAGATTTTAAACATACCCCAAAAAAGACCATTTCTAGAGTTTTGATACCATGGAACCTTTTATTTTGAGAGGGCTCTAACGAAGGGACATTTCTATTCAAGAGGCTTTAAGAAGAGTTTGGATTTTGTGTAGCCACACCCTTATATCTGCTATTACATCCAAACAGGAACGAGGCGAAATGAATTTATTCAACATGGCCGCCATAACACACATGATATTATTTCTTTCGTAAACACGACATAAAATAATGTGTTATGTCACCCTTAAAAGGACACAAAATACATGAGACTCTAGACTTACCACTGATGATATGGCTCTTAACATCTGACAAGATAGGATTGTCACCTGTGTAAATAAGGCGGATTTTATCAACCATGATTAGATCCATGGCAAGAAGAAAAGTGTTGTTATATTGTGTTTTGGTGTGTGCGTGTCTTGTTTTTATTCATTCAGAATTTATCGATTTATTCATTTATTTATTTACCTAAAGAAAACAATTGGAAAAATGACTTTCAGTGTAGTGAGTTTCTTATTTAAGTTTTTCTTTCTATTAAGTCAACGCTCCCCATGAGGAAGTTAAGTCGAAGATTCTGCTCTTTTAAGAATGCCTTTAAGACATTCTAGACTCGAGAGTCGAAATCCCACCACTATAAACAAAAAAATACGAAGATGATTGCTGTAAAAAGCTTTCTATTAAAAAGAAAAAATCGTTTAGTTTCCTCTCCAGTGATTATATTTAAATGTTTTCGCCGTGGCTACCAAATTCATACTTTCGATTTGATCTCTAGATGAAATTGAGTAGAGACGTGAAACTCGTTTGTCGCCGGTTTTCCGGCGAGGTTCGCAGCTCGTAAAATTGTCGTTTTGCAGAGCCGAAAATTGAAAATTATCAAATGTTGGCCTCAAGGGAAAAAGTTCCTTGGTTTGAACGATCAACCCGTCGGCTCTGATTTAAGAAACTTCCTGTTTGGGGATTCTGACGTTAAGCAATTGAATGAGGTTCCATCTGCAGCTTAAATCACTGGATTATTCGCTGAAAATTTAAAGCTTTGCACTTCTCTTTGGAGGCACATTTGTCCGAAACTGACTCTTGAACCCACGGGCATCTCCTACTAAGTGCATGATATTGTTTTTTTCTGAATTCAAGGGGTTCCCTTCTGAGTTCTTTACGCGACTAGATCCTTCGGGCTTCATTTACAAAATGGAGCCAGCTGGAAATACATGAGAAACCAGTTTGGTCACTCATATCTCTAATTTAACTAAAACCACTTACTTTTTGTCGCACTTTCCCCGGTCACCATTTCATACAGGCTTGGGTTGAGAATCTGCAAGGCGTCTATAAAATGGTAAAACGCCTTTTGCCCTTTCAATTCCAGAATATCTAAAAACCTTCCAGCCTTTGACTCGCTCGTCTTTTCGGCTTGAATCAACTCAAAATCAGCCTTGTCAAAAGAAGATTTACTTATGAGGTAGTCAAACAGAAATGTACGATCCATTTGAAGATGTTGTATGATAAGCAAGCGGTGTTTTGTTAAAATCTCTGCGAATGTTTCCTCTAGTTCCATTGTAAGATGCCGAGATTCGGTTCTTACTAAATGCTTACGAGCTGAGATATCGCTCACGACTGATGAATTACTCTGATGCGATGGGAAGTAGAACCGTAAAGACCGTAACTTTCGTACTTGAAAATGAAATCACGCTTGAGTGCTGAACGTGTTTCTATACGTATGGCTGTCGCGGTGTTGATCTGATACACGACTTTCGTTCAATAAACACTGCCCAATCAGAGAATCTACTTTCACTGAAACACAATATATGAAGAAGAGCGGGTCGTTTTGATGAAACGAATACATGATCAAGGAAATAAAGAAGCCTTATAAATAGGCAAAACGATGGTTTCGAAACGAGTTTCCGTTTCGCGTGGAATTCATATGAAATGTTTCCCAACGGAGTTTGATCTGTTTATTTAAATCTATTTATTTGAGATATTTAGGCAGGCTGGCCAGTTTGAGATTTACTGCCAGTTTAGGGGGGCCGATATAAACAATAACAAGGCTAGACCACAACACCGGGAAACTACTCTTTGCGAAAAGTGTGTGGGTTCTTTAACTTCCCCTTCTAACCGGAGAAGGAAATGTGCAGGAGACCGAACCGTCCGGTTTATCGTTTATGTCTGAGAAGTCTAAAATGTCTAACCGCACGGCAAACCGGTTACTAAAAATAGCTGAAGAAAAGGCGACTAGATCTCAGTGATACAAAGAGGATCGATTAAACTTATATTAATGTGGCTTGACTTCGTATGATGATTTGTCAAAACGTTTTTGATATTTTGCTTCTACTGACAAGACGTGAGAGATCTAATTTTGGAGAGCTTTCGATCCTTTAACCTCTCCAAAAAGCAAGATGTCATTTTTTTTTTAAGGGAAGTCGACGATTCATTTGTAAAAATAACTACAGTCGTGGAAGCAAGACCGACTGTTTAACCAACTAACTAATCGACTTACCTACTGACCGACCGACCTTACGCACATTGAACGTAGAGAAAGCCAGTGTGCACTTAGTAACTCCACATTCTCAACGGGGCTCAGTTGAAGCAGTTGATCAAAATAGCTCTGTCGCATAAAATCAAATAATGGGTTCTTCGCGGATACATGAATTTTCAACGTAGCGAAAAAGTTCATAGTACTAAGAACGTGCGCTAGCTTTTAAATTTCGCGCCTTTCATGTTTTACATAGGGGCAAACCCGCTTAGCACGCAATTAACGAACGAACTCGAATCGCTCAGTGCGATACGTTTTCAAGCGCATGATTTTTTAAATGAGCTAATGTCCAAAACGCACGACAAAAGCAAATCACAATTAAACATGGCCTTTCTCGCCATCGAGCTGTCTGCAGTTCAGTTGATAGGCATCCGACAGCGAAATCAAATCTGGTTGGGATTCCATTCCAGGCGGCGAACTCATTTTTTGAAAGAACCTTTCGACTTTGCCCTGTGTACCCACACTGAAGAAGCCAATCTTTCAGTGTTCACCAGTCGCCCCCGTGCGATGTATAGGTTTTGGATAGAAGATTCAAAACACGAAAAAATTACCTAGTCTTAGTTTATAGGGAAGAAGCTTGAAGAAACGGGAAATAAAATGCCCTGCTACAGACAACGTTGCTGCGTTACCTGATTGAGGTGATTTCAGCTGGTTTTTTTTGTCTGTACAATCCACGAAACGTTAGGTTTTTGACATCTTTTCAACATCTTTGCTTATTTTAAGATCTCTGAAAGTTCCAACACCTCCGACAAAGTAAAAATCCTCTCCTTGTGAGCTACTGATTTCGAAAAAAACTTTGCGGCGATCTGACGAACTTATTGCATCTACGAAGTTCCCATGATGTTACTGTTGTTCGCTTTTAATTTTTAATCGAGATTACTTCCACATAACTCCATCCGATAGCACTGCTTCCACATAAGATTACTTCCACATAACTTCCACATAACTGTCGCGCTTTCTACTGACGAGATCATAGCTCGAGACTCAGACGTGATGTGAAGGAGTGACGACACAAGTGGTTACCATGGAACTGGTCAAAAACAAATTAGGAAGTTTTTGCATCTCGTGTTAAGTGGTTAAAGTACTGCGCTCGAAGTAAAAATGGCTTCTTAGTTGTTACTGGAAGCTTTAACTAAAAGGTTCGATTAATTCATGAACAAAGACATTAGCTGCGGTAACAGATTTGTCAAATGATGTCCGATTGAAAGAAGTGCTCTGCAAAAGAGCCTGTGATGCTGATGTCCCCACTGGGAGCCAACACAAACCTTTTGAAGCCTGACATGGGAGAAGCAAGATAAGCAATAAGGTGGGCGTTTCTCGTGTGTTTCTTTATTTATTGATTGATTTCAGCCATGTACCGATGAGCAGTGCTATCGGATGGAGTACAACAGAAATATGCCGCAACAAGTTCCTTTTTTTTCCTCCTCTTTCGCGAGCGCGAAATCATGATAAGATTCAAAAGTTTCCTTCGCCCAAATTCGTATTTCACAGTCTTCTTACAGTGATAGTTTAATATCTAACCACTGACTTATAAATGAGCCGTCTACTAAAAGTATTAGCTGAAGTTGAAGAGATTCAACTTTGTATACAAAAGAAAAAAAGGGCGCGTGTAACAGAAATACGTTCCAATTTGACAAATCTCTCGTCACTCCGAAGCATCATTACCGTGATAAAATGATAATGTAAAATACTTTTTCTAAAAAAGGGCAAAATCCTGACTCCATATTTGAAGACTTACTGAAAAGGTACCGAATCAACCACAAAACTTGGCGATAAAAGAAAGTAAAACCTAACGTCAACTGAACAAAAGCAAGAAGACAACAGTAAAGTGTGCACGTCAGTTCAAGGTGCGTGGACGTGATTGGCTACATCCATGTCACGCGCTGCGCTGGAATACAAAATCCGCACTGAGGGGGAGGGGGAAGAGAAGGCAGTACCTTAAATTGTTAAATGCGCGAGAAACATCGTTCACTCGGTATGAGTTTTTCACTAAAACGTAAATTTCCATACTTCCCAACCCAAGACGAAAAGGAGACTCAGACAAGATTCACCAATGATTGTTTTATTTAAAATGACTATAATTCGCTTTTGACTTACAAAGAGTAATAGGCTCCAACGAAAATAATAACTTCTTTCATTTACAACTTATTTCACCCGATAGTTCTTTGTTATTTTGCTCTTAATCTAAAATCTTCTGTAACGAAATGAGTTTAAAGCGGTAATTGCTTTCTAATTTGTAAAATATTTCTTCAGTTTCAATTTACATACCCACGAGAACAACATAATGAAATAATCCTCATTTTTATTAAAAGGAAAAAAAAAAAAAAAAAAAAAACAGCAACAAACCTTTATTTGCACCCTGCATTTACAATTATTTTTGGTTTACCTAATGTCTACGAGAAATGAAGAGTGTGCTAACTGCCCCAACTAACCGCAAGGGTTTTGAAAAACCGGGGCCAAGATAACACTGAATTAGATTTAGCTTGTGGGTCACTTTAAATAACTTCGAAACGTACACACAACAACCTCCCAAACTTGTACAAAACTTACACTGACGTTATTAGCAGGAGGTCAAAAATAGTTCCCGACAAAGACAGAAAAAATTTGCCACTGGTCCAGATTTCTGTCACAAGCCCTGCATGCAAAGAACTACATGATTAAGTCGAGTTTTCTTGGTCCAAAGGCAGTTGGCTGCCTTTGTTTTCATTCTTACACGAGAAATCCTTAAGTCGCTCGATAAGCAATTTCCTTGTCATTGATAAGTTCACTATCACCCGAGGACTTTGAAACTGCCTCTGGCTAAGTGTCCACGTTTCCGGCAAAGCTTTGCCATTTCTACACTAATGGTTTGACTCTGCCTAAAATTGATCTTACACACGTAGGCGCGCTCCATTCGCACGCTCAATCAAACGCGCGTGAACGCTATCCGTTATCTTGGCTCACTTTCATGTCTCTGCTATGCTTTAATAAGACTAGAAATCGCGCTCTATCTACCCTTCTACCTTAAACTCTACAAACTCGATGCCCTCTTTTCAGCTTACGTCATTTGAGATAGATTTACGGCTTTATTGGCGCGAGTCAGTCCGACGTAATTTTAGGATCAGGCGGAAAACTGAACTCAGAGACCGGAGAATTTGGGGCAGAGGAACTTCGAGGGCGATCCTCGGCTTTGAGCCTCACTGCACCAGCCCTCTTACGGAAAGGCTTTGCACTAAAAGTGGGAGACAGCAGAGCCTCTTTAATTTCTTCCGTTTCTCTCTCAGAGCGATCGTCATTATCCACTGATAGATCAACGGAGAGTTCAATTGATGCCGGCACCTTTTGGATCTTCTGATACGAGGGATCTCTTGCAGCCAGCTTGAATTTACGGCGATTTTTCATTTCTGTTTCTTCTTCGTTTTGATTATCGTCGCTTGAGGAAGACCTGCTTCCAGTCGAGCGATCTCCTGAGGATAACTTGTTTTGTACAAAGTTCAGGATCTTGGAGGGAGAGGAATTGCTTTTATAATAGACAGGTCGAGTTGAATTCTTGTGGGATTGAGTCTGCACTCGGGCTCTGCCGGTTGCATTCGGATCCTCGTCGCCTTTGCGATCGTTACCGACTATCGGCTCAAACGAATCCGACTCTACGCTGAGAGATTGACCTTGAGAAGATTTTGAGGAATCGGAAAGATTCCGCGATAGCCCACCAGGCAGACCACTGTCGTTGGAACGAAACGAAGAGCGCATAGAATTGCTGTCGATAGGGTTGTTACAAGGAACGCTGTTGCTGACAGCTGGAATAAACATACACTGCAGAGCGTTGTAAGTTGGTGCGCTCTTGAAGAGGGTTCTGTTTCGATCCAGACTCAGACATTTCTGGGCCTCAGGCGAAAGGGTCTTCCTTTCTGGAACCAGCACTTCCAATTTCTCATCCAACGACAGGCTCTTCTCGGGTTGAACGGTAGAAGTATCCGTTTCCTCGTCTCCACCATCTGAACATATGCACTGCTCTGTGGCTTGAGATTTCCTCATGGCAACACGCTTTTTGACGCTGTCTATAATGTTAGCAGTCTTACGTCGTGACCTCCAGTCGTAGGAATCTTCACTGCTGTTGCCTGGAGATTCTTCCTCTGCATCAACTCTGCCCTCCAGTTTGGCTTCCTTGGCCTTGTTGGTGCACAAATGGAGACCGTTTTCCTAAAAAAGATAAAAAAAAAATTGAACATCGTCAGATTAACTGTATTTGCACAAAAAGTATTTATAGTTTCATTCCAGCTAGAGCTCGTTCTATTAAGATGTCAAACTAACAACATCAAAGTAATCATAATGGCCAATCAGAAATGAGTCAATTATCATAGGGAGCCAATGAGAACTTAAAACTTAGCGCGGGAAAACGGGAGCGACCACGTCGCCATTGGCTTTGCTTTTGCATCTGATTGGTCGAGAGGATAGCGCAAAATGAGACTTCAACCATATTTTAAATGATGAGAACTTTTAGCCCATTCAAGATCAGAAGTGACCCACAAGTTATTTACTCTACACAATTTTGGTTTATTATCCCGAGAATAGGTAACGAGGAGGGGTAATTTTATCAGAGGGACGCCGGTAATACTAATCAAGTTCTAGGAACTTATGTTCAAGGTCGATGTCTGGTAACTAGACTTGAGAATTAATGGAAAGATGCTGAGAGTGACGTTAGGTTTACAGAGTGCTTCTTCAATCAGGAGAAAGAACGATGAGCCCTCATAGACAAGATTCAACACGGATTGTAAGTAGTGTACACGAAATAAACCACGTTGACCTGTGGCTACGATAACAGGAACGATTTGATTTTCACAGAATGACAGAAATTTAAATCACTGCAGAACAAATCCTACAAAATTTATGGCTTCCGTGGGGATCTAAATCGTGCTCACCAGACACCTATTGGGCACCTCTACCAACTGAGCTATGAAGCAACAGGTTAAGAGTGACGTTGATGTTTTTGGGTTCTGTTGGAAAATGGACTACGTGACTGTCACGTTGTGGGAGTGAACTTTGTTCCTTTTGTTCTCGTTGCCTGGTGATAAGCTGTAATCACGTGAAGTAAGTTTAAAATTTCAAAAACCACATGCGAGTCGACGTGTGAGCTAGCCTCTGTTATTTTCCTTTGTGTTGAGATATAAATATAGAAAAGTGATTCGAGTCTGTTGATCGGTTAACGTGAATATTAACGGGAAAATCTCTTGTATTAGAAGCAATCGGAAGATTCCTGACAGTTCTTTGTTACCGAGGAATTTGATCAAAAATGGTATATATGATATAAATTACATTTTGACCTTGAGATGTAATAACTAGTGATGCACTCGTCGCTCACTTGGTGGTTGCGTCCAACTAAAATCTGAAGAGAATTAGCCTGCGTTGCAGCCGGATGTGTCACACAATCCCCAGTCTATACTGGCGGTTTAGACAGTCTGCGACGCAGGCTAAAGAGAATGAGATCAATTTCCCTTGAAGTCTGAAATTTCTTCAGACTTCTTCCTCTATTTTTTGAAGATAAATACGTCCCCTACTAAAATAGACTATTAAAGATACAGTAAAATTAATAAGCGTAGATGTCCAAGATGCAAAAATGGTGATTCATTCCACCAGATCATTATGAAAGATAAAACAGAAGCCTATTAAGAAGACCAGTAATCATCTACGTCAGCAGACTCTTTATCTTATTCAAGTAATCAAGTTAGCGCATGGTTTCCTTCTTAATTCAAAACTGTCGTGTGTTTGCCTTTTGTTCCAGATTTTTCCGGTTAAGAACAAATTCACTGGGTTGCTTAGAGTTTTGACATAAAAAATAACAACAGCAGGTCAAAGGCTAGGTTCTGTTCCCCACAACGCAAAGGGCAAAATTAAACTCTGATTTCGCTCAAATTTTCCTGTAATTTTTAAATTAACTTCATAGAACACTGTTTAAATTCTCTTTTGCACGGCTGATTTTAATGCTTTTACTCTTGAAACAGATAAGAGAAATTTAAGTTCTGCTCTTTCGCGTTTGACGTAACCGTCACGCTTAACCTGTTAAATTTTCAGTTTCTTTTCTTCTGTGAGCTTTGTTGCCTTGCAACCGCGCTATTTTTAATACGCAATAATGACGTTCAACTTCCGGTTACCCTTCGCTCAGTAACAGATGTGTCCATCAACTCCTGATAAAATAAGCAGGGTTAATTTCAAAGAAAGTTGCTCAAAAATTATACTCCATGGCGACAAAATCTTAACCTCCTGACCTAAACGAAACAGAATTACTGAATTTCCTACTAAGTTAGTAGCTAACCACAGAGGCGTTTTCACAATAGACACTCGACTCGTTGCCTCCTAAATTCTTATACACATAACTCCAAATCCTCATGAAAAAAATAGAAGGAAGATGTATGGTCATCAGTAAGAAACATTTCTCGCTCAAAGTGGTGACGGTGGTCTAACTCACGGTATAGCCGAATCGGGTCTCCTGGGATACCGACAGGAAAAAAGAACAACAGTGTTCCTGTGTCTCGTCGTTTTCCGGTTTATCTTGTTATTTTCACTGAGCGTGAAACCAAAAAAAAAAAAAAAAAAAAAACCGCTGTTCTAACAGGACATCGGCTGCGACTTAAGATGCAGAAAAAGTGTCCATCGAATGAGAAAAGCAAATAAATTCTGATACCATGAGTATATCAAAATCATTAAATTTATCATTTCTCACTGACCTTTCCAACGAAGGGATTTTCGTCAATTTCTGACGAGTTTCTTTGCAGCTTAACTTTCCTAAGCTCCTCAAGTTCCATCTGAGTTTGGTAGAGGCGCTCCCTGACACTTTGAAGATCTTCTGAAGTTCTTTTGAACTGGAGCTCAAACTGGCGACTGTGCTCCATCTGTCTCTTTATGGCTTCGTCTCGATTACGAATAACTTCGGTTAATCGCACAGTGGCTTCATCCCTTTCCTTCCTTAGTTGCTCCCTTTCTGCTGAAGTTTCCTTCCAGGCTTTCTCGTACAGGTCGCGCTGCTCTCGATAGGTGTTCGCGGTCTGCTCGAAGTCTTTGCACCGCTTCTTCAAGTCCTCTATCTCCCGAGAGGATATTGTCAGTTTAAGCTCCAGCTCGTCAGCCTTATCTCGGAGGACTGAGTAGTCAGCTACAGTACTCTCATGGGTTTCTTGAGTCTGTTTTCTGTCTTCTTCCACGATATCGTAGCGAGCTTTCAGAGCTTCTGTCCAGCACTTAAGCTCTTCCAACTCTCTCAGTACTTCATCCTTTTCTGATTTAAGCTTTTGATTGCCGAACTGGAGCTGGCGAAATTTCACTTTGAGCTCCTCGGCCCTCTGAATGTTGTCTTTCTGGATTTGCAATTTCTCGGTCAACTTCATCGACTCCCGTCTCTGATTGTCATAATTTTTGGAAATCTCGGTGAAGCGGTTCAACAGCTCATCTTTTTGCATCATGGTCTGTTCGAGTTTCTCTTTCAAGTTATCTACTTCCTCTTTGGTGGTGAGGAGCTTCATCTGGAGAGCTATTATAAAATGTGTCCTCTCCACCATCTCTCTGTTCTTCACTTGACAGTGAAGGGCTGCCCCGTCCACCATTTTCTTGGCGCTAGAGTGCGATTCCATCAGCAAAGCCTCCGTGTCAAATTTTCGCTTTTCGAGTTCTTCAATCAGCCTATCCTTCTCTTGCAATTCACACGAAGTTCTGCTCAGTTGCTTCTCCAGTTGTTCGTTTTCTTTTCGGATTGTGTCGTAGCGGATTGTCAAATCTTGCAGATCGCTTATAGTTCGCTTTAAATGGTTGCTCATAATATCCAAGTCTGGGGCTCGACCATTGGACCCTGCACAGAAAAGAGTGAAGAGAACTGCGCAATTACATTTGCTTCGCGTAAAGCGAAATGAAAATAAGAAACCCGTTCTTCACAAACAGGAATATAAATGTGTATCGACTACCGGAAGGCAAAACTCCCTTGGCGGTAAAAACCCCATCTCGAATGATGTCAGAATTAATGTTATTGATGAAAAAGATGGATCTAGTTACGGATAATATTTCACAGCAATCTAATGAAACTTCATATCTAAGAGCTACAGGTCGGTTTGGCTACTGTATTTCTGAATCAACTGATGTATGATACAAAAATTAAAGCACATGCCTTCTGAATTCTCTAAGTGTAAGTTGAGTGTTGTTAACTTCCGGGTTTATGTGTTGATAAACAAGGCAAGTTTGCGTCCAGACAAGCACTTACATAAATTAACCCTACGATCGTTTACTTAGAACTGTGGTTATACTACAGCGTTGCGATATGTCCAAATTTAACAGGTATGTTGCATCTAACAGAGAAAGAGTTTTAATTAAAAATAACGGATAATTTATAATGAAAATAAGTTCAAATTCAAATGCGTAATGAAGCAATAGTTTACGGCATTAACATGTCACTTAACACGTTCAAGTTTAATTCTTTTAAGCCTATTGGTTGCTAAAAAAAAACCTAGCCCCATAAATGCCTGTTACACAAGCTTCAGCTAAATGAACTGATATTATCACATCCAATCTTTCCTTTTATGTTGAATAAGCTGTGAAGACAACTTAGCCGTGCAATGAAGCTTACAACTCAGTGCCGTTAGGGAAATCTGACTCGGTTACCATTGACGTTTAAGATGCCAGATTAAGTAAAAAACAATGATTAATATCGGATTATGAACTGTGTTTGAGTTGAAGATAAGCCTCAATCGAATCGACGAATTAAAAAAGAAAACTCCCCCGAAAAGAAAGGAAGTCAATACATATATCTTATTAACCAAGCGCGAGGGCCGTACTGGGAGAATATCGGCCCGAGGTCTTGACAGTACGGACCGAGCGCAGTGAGGTCCGTACAAAAAAGACCGCGGGCCGATATTCTTCCAGTATGGTCCCGAGCAAGCTTGGTTAATAAGAGATTTATTATACGACTGAAGTATAATAAGTGCGACACAAGTGCGGTATCATTCGGGACCATTCGGGACAGTGCCCGGTCCAATACTTAGAGAATATTGGACCGGCAATAGAGCATTTTGATTGGTTGATTTTAGTTATTGGCCCTCTGACTGCCCGAGTCGTGTAATAAACTAGATTACCAAGACAGGAGATCTTAAGTGCGGCTCTTGGGCTTTAAAGCAGAAGAATATGAAGACTTTTCTACTAAATATTAACTGTGCCTTAGGGAACGTAGAAGGTCCTAGAAGTAATGATTTCATGTCCTTTTATGTTTTGGTTGAAAAAATATCCAAAATGGACAGACGAAGCCTATTCCAAGAGTCTCAAATGAACTTGTTGCGCCAGTGGTTATAACTATAGAACGTCAGTTGCACCAAATTTTCACTACTACCAATGGGACAAAAAACATTTTCCATCCATCGTTTTCATTCTTAATTCACTAAAGCTACTGGCGAATAAAGTTAGGCACGGCACGAGCAATTTATTTGAACCAAAACACGCTACCCCTATGAAACATGGCAAGACCTTCCGTTATAAGTGACGGTTTCGAAAGTAACATGTTCAGCTTGGCAAACTCAATGATTTCAAACATAACGTTGAATGGGTGCCAAAATTAAGCCGCACTCAATTGTGCAGCTTGGTTTGGTAAGGCAATAACGCTGCGTTTGGAAATCAACGGAGTCTTTTTTTCGGCAAGCATCCTCATTTTTTTTTTTTTTTTTTCAAACAGCAACGAATACTGTGATAACAAACTTTCACAGCAGTTGTGAAAGTTAGTTTCACTTTATGTGCCCGAGTTAAGTATCATCGCGACTAAGCCATGACGAGTGGATGGAATGTTATGACTCATATCACAACAGATCGTAAGAGGTTCTCGAACAAAAATTCGCACCATTTGCTTCACAAACCAAGGGACGAAAACGCCGATCAGCGGTGAAAAGCAGTTAAAAAGACCTTTATTTTTGTTTTCATACTTAATCACTAGGAACCAATTCAACCAGAATTGAAACGAAATTTTCAAACCTGTAAATTTGCTTAAGTACAATTTCAAAATCCTCTTAAGTCGGGAAGGTTGGAGGATATTGTATTCGTTAAGGCGTTTCATTTATTAACCCCTTCGAAAGAACCGACGTTTTCTTGTATGACACTAGCACATGTGTATATGTATTAGTTTTTAACTCGAAGAGACGAATTCAGTCGACCGTTTTGCGAGTAGATTACGACCCGTTTTGAGAGAGGAAAGAGAAATATAAATTAAAGCTGGTGGATAACAATGCCACAGCGAAAAGCTAGCGTATATGTACGTAGGGTATGGGTGGGGTTTCCCCTAATTCAGTGGATATAGGATATAGGGTGAGGTTAAAATTGTTTGAACTTGACCGAAAAAAAATGATGCCCAATCCGATCTGATATCTGCGACAATGACGTATTCTATAGCTAAAAGTTATTTCAGATTTTACTGATAAGTCGTTATCGGTTATCCTGTGAAAATTTAGTTTAAATTTAGGGTTGCAAAAGATCCTTACCAGTTTATTGAACATAAAAAGCCAGTTTTAGTTGGCTAGAACCCATAGGCTGAGCACCTAGTGGAAGATTAAATCATGTGCTTATAATCTGTTCAACCAGAACGTTATTACTGGTCTATAATTAGTGGTTAGTTGGGAGAAAATATATCCTCGCCGATGGACTGCAGTATTAGTGGCTCAACTACAAGGATAAATTACACAGCAAACAAACCAGTCCGGACGCGATTGAAATTTTATTTCTTCCTATGTATTGAATCCACGGTAACACTATCTCAGTTAAAAGAGGGTTATTTGAAATTTTCCGAAACTTTATGACTCTTTTTTGCGAAATTATGAATTTAACTATAAAAAAAAAAAATCACATAAATCTTATTGATCTATTGACAGGAATACTTCATAATTAAAACGCTAAACTACTAAACCTAACATTAATATTATCTGATATTATCTAATATTAAAATAACTCTTAGATGCTAAAATAGGATTGGGAAAAAAAAAGGACTTAAAGGGGGCTAATTACGGAGACTCATTAGGTGATACGACAAAAAAACTTTCCGAGACCGGAAAAATAACACAAAAATACCGCAAAGTATTGGCATCCCTCTTAAAAGAAAAACCATAGAATGATCGCGATAAATGCGGTTGTCACGTCACTTCAAAATAATTATCTGGTTTAAGTATCCAAACCTTGCCTTAATGCACCAAAGATATGAAGGTTAATGCAAGAATTGAGTGGTAATATTTGCTTCTAAAAATTAAACGCGAACAATTTCTCAAGAAATTTTGAATTCATGTAATAAAGAAGCCGACTTACAATTCCAAAAGTCGTTAAGCTACGGAAATAAGCGATAAACAAAATAGGTCAACTACACTTATGTTATAAAAATAAAACAAGGTTTTATCCAGGCCTTATTGGGAAGTCTATGCACCAGTGAAAAGAAATACCGGAAATCCAAATGTTTTAATGGGCAACTTTTTTGCAAAAATTTTCCAGAAAAATTCGGCACGATAATCATCGAGAAAATGATTCAGTTTGTTTATTTCGAGTATCCTTTTTCGATTCTGTAACTGATGTAATCACAAAATCACACCCAATGATGACAAACGTAAGAGATTTGTTTAGAGATTTAGCTGGTTGGTACGGTAACGGGGAAACGGATAGAATAATTGTGTACACAGCTTTTTAATTTCTTGAATAAAGCCCCCAAAAAAGTTGAAAAATGTTTCGGCTGGTTTTTAATT